GAACATTTTAATCTGTATTTACGAAGCCTTTAGAGCTCATTTTATTTTTTATATTTTACCACCTTGTCTGGGATAAAACATAAGATAAAATTTTTAATGTGAATTAAAAATACCAGTAAGTGTGCTTATGTATACAGTAGACTAGGATAACTCCTTTGAAGAAATCACTACCTAACGAACTGAGTATATAAATTTTGATAAAATAACAAAATATGTATTTACCCAGTAGAGCTACCAGTAGGAGCTATTCTGCTCTACAGATAAATACATACTCACCAGAGATATTAGAACTGCAAGAATCATTCTGAGTCTCTAAGGTGATAATTTATATTTTTTGCTTGCATATTGCTTTTATAGTAAAAATTTACTATTTCTGAAAGGGAAAAATGGACCAATACTGCAATCAATTTTTAATGGCTTATAATAAGCAAGGCTGCATATTCAAACTTCAGTTAATATTGATGCTTTATGAAAACAATTGTAAAACTATTTTAAAATGGTCAAGAATGCATAAATTGTGTTTGAATAATTAGGTACCTCTGCTAATTTAAATTCAAACTACTCATTAGTAAAATGAAATATATCTGGTAATTTAAATGTAAAAAATGAAGTATAAAGAGTTATCAATACTTTCTATAGTAGTTACGTCTTTAAGATATTAGCAGCACATTTTTTTTAAAAAAGAACATTGACTCATATAAGTAAAAATAGCTATAGTTAGTTATTATAATAATGTACCTCATAGTCTATTTTTATAGTCAAACATAGAAAGGTTTCTTCCAAATAAATGAGAAATTAATTAGTCATTCAAGCAAATACATAAGAAAGCACTCCAAACAAAGGAGATTCAAGTGGTCAAGTTAGTCAATCAGCAAAAATGTAGTGAAAATAAGAAAAGCACAGTCATTTTTGCAACAGTAGCAATACTGAATAAAGTCTAATATTTAATTAAATAGTTTGGGGATGTTTGTCTATAAATAGCTGTATCATCTAATATTGACATTTTATGTAGAAATATTCTAAATGGTTATAATTCGTAGAGTATTAATTATATAAATAATGGTAAGTACAGTAATGCATTTCTAAGTATAAAAAATAAACCCTTTTAATCCTATGTGGATTGAAATAAAGAGTTAATAGTATTTACAACTGGTGATATTACAAAAAGAATATTTTCAATAAAAGGAGAAATTTTCATTGTAAATGCAGGAATTGTCCACCCTCTTCTCTGTCTTCTATGAGGAAATAAAATCTTCTTACCTGTCACCCTACACCCAAGATTTTTGTCTACCTCAAAAAAAAAAAGCTTAAAATTAAAGGGTCAATCCTTTACCCCCTTCCATGGTTTATAAAGCAAAAAGCCAAAACTCTTCATGGCCTCTTCTCCTTCCAACCACCTAAGATTCAAATAAGGGTGATTGCTCTCTTTTTTTGTTCAGTAGTGTCCTGGTGAGGGAATGATTTTACTGTCCTTTTCCTGTGGGGTCCTGCCGGTTTATCTAAAAGGAAATGAATTATAACAGGATGACAAGGCCACAAAACAAAGCCATTTAGTTTTACAAATCTATTATGTCCTCCAATCTGTTTTATGGGTCTGGTCCTATTATAAACTAAGAAAAACCCTAAAACAAACTCTTTTTTTCCTTTCTTTCCATTGAAAACATCTACAATTTTATGACTGTTTAACACTTTAGCCTAAATTTTTTTCCGCTCTGTGTGTGTGTGTGTATGTGTGTGTTTTTCCCCCAAGAGTCCTTCCACCCCACCTTCTCAAACATATAAAACATTCAGAGACAAGAAACTGGACTTTTCAAATACAAACTGCTGACAACTGTCAGAAGCACTTTACTGGGACATTACTGACTGTAGCTTCAATGAATTAAGCTTGATTCACTGCGGGTGAATCATTTTCAATGCAGAGCTGTTCAGCAGTAATTGGCCAAGAATCCCTGCTGCGAAAAGCACTTGTCAAATAATGCTTGTTTACAAATATATCTCCAGACAGCAAAAAGTGGCAGTTACTGAATAAGTTCAGGGCCACCTCCAATATTCACAACAGTGGACATGCTCTCTTTACTTATTAAATCTATTAACATTTTCACTTGTTGATATACTTGCTAATGTTTGTCCTGCTTGATTAATCTGAGATAAGTTGCTAAATATGCCTCTGAATTATTTTATAATAGAAGTGTTTTGTATTAGACTGTAGTTCAAAGGTTTCTTCCACATGTAATTTATGCCTAAGGTATGTAAAAAGACAACTAAAGATATATTTATCTTATCTTAGAATTGAATCTAAAGAGTACATTTTCCTCTTATTGTCTTTTATCCAACATATCCTAACATTCATTCCATCTCAATTTAAGATTCTAGATATATATCTGGCTTTTCCTGTTCAGTTCTGCTTATTTATGTCTACAAAAGTTAAATTTTAAAAATGACTAGAATACAAATTATGAATGTAAAGTCACATTTATGTCTATCTGCCTTGAATTTTTTCCTCACATAATGGGAGCATTCATATTCTATATATATATGCACACACATACACTATAGTCTGTGAAATCACTAAGTATCTATAGGTTGCAGAAGGCAAAATATATGAGAGCAAGTTATTAATGGATGCAGTGCATACATCGAATCTTTCTGCCCCTGATCTTCCAAAGAACTTCCAGAAATAAACAATCAAAAACAAACTTAAAAACTCCAATTGGAATCTTTAAATAAACTCCTGTTATTAGTATCTTAATATATTATTGCTTGATTTATAATAACACACGGAGAAACAAAAATAAGAGGAGAGCAATGGTCTGAGATGATACTTATGGAAAGATGGAAAACTGCTGGGTAGAGATAGAATGAATGAGGTGAAGCATACATATTAAGACGATTTTATTTCCTACTGTGTTTAATAGTGATAGATCCCTGCAATCCTCACCTCCCTACAACCCAAGTTTTGATGTGTGTTCGAATAGCTGGCGTAGGGACAATACAACCTGTGGTTGTTACATCTGTGATATCAACCAGTCTACCTTCCAGAAGATTTGAGCTCTGCTTACATCACCTTAAGAGACCGGTGCTATTTCCTAGCTTCCCTCCAATTCCCTCTGCCTCTTCCTCCTTGGCACAGTCTTGGCCCTTGTGCCCATTCAGCATCACCCTCCCTGAGATTTCATTTTTTTCCCCTTCTCTAACCAAGAGCCTCTACTCCCTTTCATCTCTACATAAACCACTTCCCTCATCACACCTGGGGGAAAAAAAATTGAAATATCACGGGAACAGGAAAGGATGAATGACACTACTATTACTGTTACTCTTTAAATCCAAACCAGGATGCCCCTTCCGGTGGAATAAGACAGTTAATAAAAGGATTCCAAACCCTGTTATAATCCTCCGGACTTCTAACATAATAAATCTAACATGAGAGGTTAATAAAAGGACTACCACTTAAAACACTTTTTCAACTTCATCGGGAAGGGGAAAAGATGCAGATTGTTTGGGTTAAGCATGGGAGACTGCCAGAGCTAGATAACTAGATACAGTGAGCTACACAGAATCCTTAAATCAGATTTAAAACAATAAATGTAAGGATTAAAGAGAGAAGTTCATGGGGTGGGGCAGGGAGTTTCGATCTGCCCTGCTTTCACACGGTTCCTAGGGAGCTGGCAGTGCTCCTAAACCAGCTCAGCGCCTTCTCCTACAGCCACACAACCCGCGCAAGTCACGAGGACACACACGACCCCAAGGCTGCTGCTTCATCTTTCCGGTCCAGCGTCCCCTGCCCTAGGTGTGGAAGGGATTTTTTTTAAGGTTCTGTGCCTCACCCGTGGTTTGAGGAGCCTCAAATCGAAACCCCAGTATTCCAGCCAGGGGGCAGGGTCTTTGATGTTTGCGTGGTGGAGCTGACCGCTTCTCGCAGCCCAGATCTGGATCTGAGATGCTACACCTCCCACCCCCATTCTAAAGGAATGAGCCTTTGAGCTGTGACCCAGTGCGGTCGGGGTGTGAGAGGAGCAAGCGCGGCCGGAGCAGACCGAGGGCCGAGGGCGCCCAGGCGAACCGTGGCGGGCCCGGGGGGCTGAGCACAGCTCCGGGAGCAGAGAGCGCCGCACAGGTGCTGTTCCCGCGGGCCGACTCTACTCGCCCAGCGGCAGGCGGAGACAGCCTTCAGGGTCCGGAGCGCAGGATTGGGGGTGGGGAGGAGGGTTGGGAACTCCAGGATCCGGTGCCGACGAGAGCGGGGCTCTTCCCTCACGCAAACACCGAGACACAAGCCCTGGTGGGTTTGAGCAGCAACTTCCTGGCAGCGAAACTCCACCCCCCTTCCGCCTCATCCCACCTTCCCGCCTTCTTCCACTTTCACCTCAGTGTGATTATGAGCCCCCAAAGTGAAGGGCACCCCACAGTGTGGGGCGCCTTCTGTCCTTCGCCATTCCCCTCCCTCGAGAAATAACAGCTCTTGCCACCCACCCCAGAATAGCAGCTGGCGATGCCCTAAATAACAGCTTCCAGAAGGCACTTCCCCCCCAAAATAAAAGCAGCCAGCCACCCTCACAATATTTCCCATCACCGGCCTCAAATAACGGTTTCTAAAAGCCCACCGCTCCCGAGCTCGTTGTCGCTGAGCTTCAGACAGTTCCCACTCCTTCAAGATCCAAATGTCACTTCCCCGCGCGCTTCAAGTGAGAACCAGCCGCACCCAACCTTCTGGCGCGGGTCTCAGACCTCTCTTTCCCCCCCGCTTGCAACTTCCCAGCCCCCCAACCAGCCTCGGTCCACACGCAGGTTTCTCGTCCAGCGCTCCGCACCTAATGTAAAACAATGCAACCAGACACAGCAAAGGGGAGCGAAAAGGCTGGCGAAAGCGGACAAATGTTAATTCGTGATGCGGGATGAGATTTCGTCCGTGGCAGCAGCGTCCAGAGCGCCCGCACCCGCACTTCCAGGCCCCGCCTCGCCCCTCCGCCCCAGGTCGCTGCGGTCCCCACCCCCAACACTACCTTCGTTGCTGGGGCTGGCCAGGAGGGTCCGAAGCGCGGCGCACAGAAGAAGGCACGTCCAGAGGGGGGCCCTGCGAGGTGCGGCATAGCAGCCGGCCAGAGATGCAGGGGTGCTGGGGGTGTCGCCGTCGTCGCCGCCCGGGGGCCTCCGGCGTCCCGCACCCGGGGGCCCCGAGCCCCGCATCTTCTCCTAGCTGCCTCCGCCGCTGCTGTCCCGCGCGGCTCAGTCCACCGCCCCGGCCTCGGGGAGGGGGCGAGGGAGGCTCGCGGTTCCTCCGCGTTCCCCGTGGAGTCCCTTGGCTTCTGGCACGCGGCTCTTCCAAATGCGGGAACCGCGGATCCTCTGAGACGGCCGAAGTTTGCTTCCGGCTCCTGTCTCCCTTCTCTTCAGTGGGCTTAATTTAAATACTAGTTATGGCTGATAGTGCAGTTCTGGACTGGACTCAAGGGTGTCGAGAAGGTCCCGCGTCCTGTTTCTCTGTCTCTTAAGACTTTTAAGGATTGAGGTCTTTAAAATGCCCCTGAGGGGAAAATAAAGGTTCCTTTTCAGTCTTCAGGGCTGAAATGATGAAGGTAAGGGAGACAAGTCATCTTAAGTCAAGAAAAATGCTCAATAAAAAGAGGAGAACAAGACAGGGTGGTTAAGTATAAAGGAAAGGAGTTGAGAAAATACAGGGTGGAGAAAACACGAGAGCGGCGAGCAAAGGAAAAGATCCAGAGAGTTCAGAGACTGGCAGAAGGAAATAGCTGCTGGCTGAGTGCTGACGAGGGGAGGTACTGGCGGCTGCAGGCGGCCAGGAGCGCGGAGCCCAGCGGCGGTAGCCCGGAGCTGCTGCGGTTCCCGCTGCTCCGGGAGGAGGTGGTGTGCGCGCGGCTGGGAGGACGAGGTTGAAACTGCACAGCCACGGCGCCCTCCTGCTGTGTCTGGAGCTCCGTCGTCTCCTCTGCCTCCCGGCTCTGCACCTCCCACCGTCCTCCCTCCTCCTCTTCCCAGCTCCCCCGCCCTCTGCTGCTCGCAGCTTCGCCAGTGAGAATCTACAGTAAGTGTGAGTTGCTTAGACGAAGTCACACACTCGCGGAGGGAAGTAATCTGAAGGCTGCCGTGGTGAGTGTTGCCTAGCGGTCTCCGGGAAAGGCGCGTCTTCCTCCCCGGATAACTAGGGCGAAGAATTCTCTTGACGGTGCCTGCGAACACCGGGGCTCCCGGGAGGCGGAAGGGAAATCAGCCTTAGGCTCAGCCGGCAGCCTTTGGAGAAGCGGGTCCTTTGGTTTGGCATGTTGCCTGCTGCCCATCACAGGCTTGTGGCATCAACAACCTTGTCGTCACATAGCCACGCATTCGCAGGCTGTGCTGGTCCGTGGCTAGTTTCTTAAACACCCATATCGCTCATTGCTGCTCACCCTTTCTATTCTTCCAATACTTTGGCAGCTGGGATGGGATAATTAGGCAACATTTCCTTCAGAAGTAAATTGTAGAATTTCTGAATATAGACACCGTGACTATAATTGAAATTTCAGAGAGTCAAAGAATTTGACTTACTGAGGTTTGTAGTGTGCCAGGTACTTTACGATGTGATAATTTAATTCATTAGTTTCATTGACAGAATGTGTTAGAACTTTAGAAATTATAAGATAAGTAGCTATATGCAATTAATTCCACTGCAATTAGCATGAGTCAAATAATTTCAGGGTTTAAAAAATATTTTAATTTCGTGTTTTCTACTGCACTGAATTACAAATTAATTACAAAAAAACTGTTTAAAACAATTGACTTTCTGTGCTCCACCTCTATTATGTATTCTCTTGCTTTATTATTTTTTCTTTAATTTTCTCATTCATTCTTTTAAAGAGATGCTTCTGAAGGGCAATTGTAGTAAAAACTACAAATAAAGCATGTACGAAAAGTGTGAGTTTAGAAGAAAGGTATCTTGTTTAATTTGTTGTATAGTAACTACTGGGAAGATTGGGTTTGCATTCACCCCTAATGAAGGGGAGTCTGCTCACTAGCTTTGACATCTAGAGCCCTGTTTGTTTTCACAATAAAATTCTCATCATCTTTAGCTGATGACATTTGTTTTCTGTTTAAATATTTGCAATAAAGATGAAAGAATAAAGAAGCGGTGATGCGATTTTATAAAGAGGTGGAAGCAAATCTTTGATTTTTTTTTTCCCCAAAATGTTTTGGCACCAGAAATCTAAAAGCAGCTTCTTTCTATTATAATGTGCTCCAAACGCATGAAGCAAATTTAAAGAAATGGCAGTGAATCAGCCTTTCAGTTTGGCAAAAATCCTGATGCAAAGTTGAATTTTATATTTCTATTTGAAGACCATTCAAAATGTAAACTCCTCCCTCCAAATTATAGTTGAATTACTTAAAAATATTTGAAAAGAATATCAACTAAGTTATCTTAAGCCTAGGGATACGTAATAATGCTGCTATAGAACATAGGCAGTTTAATGGGACTTAGAGCTTGTTATATTACTTCTATAGGTCTCAGTATCCTCATCAATAAAATGATTTGGAGAAAATGATCTTCAAGTTCCCTTTCCTTCCATACCCTTTGCATTTCTATGTTACTACCCTGTTCACCTATCTCCAATTATTTACTATTGACTACAAAATTATTCAATTTCTTCAGCCTAATGTTGAAAGTATTCTACTACAAAGATCTTAAATAAATTTTCTATTTTACTTTACCTTAAAATTTGAAATTCAGTGTTCCCTAAATTGCCTCATACCTCTTCGTTTTTATGCCTGTCACTCTATCCCACAGAAGATTCACCCCCTAAAAATATTTAACACTTTCCCTCCCACACACACTCACACATACACATCTCTCATCTAAAATCCTACCCAGTGTCCAAAGAGTATAAGCATTCAAGACTGATCTTTTCACAAAAAGAAGTTACTTGATTCTCCTTCTCCAAGTATCCATAGCTTATGATTTATGTCAATCAACACAATGGCAATATTTTCTGAATGAAAAACTGGAACAAATTATCTAACAACTATAAGTGTATATACTGGGATGAAAGAAATTTAAACTGGGCATGTCAAAGAAAACTTGGGACACTATTCACTATGGTGGGTAATTATCTCCTACCCAAGATATTTAACTCCTCCTTAAGTGATTAAGACTACAGAAAGCCAACTCCTTAATTTTCTTCACCTTAAATAGCAGCCATTTTTCTCATGGTTATTTAATAACATTTGTCATATGTCCTTGAAAGAAAGAACAGCTGTAAAATGGAGCCCCAGATACAGCAATGAAAGAGTTAATCAAGTCAATGATGATGGCTTGATTTCCGCCTCAATCTCACAAGAGATCTTATATCTGGTCTTGTGTTGCTTTCTTGGAATGTCAATACTCTCTTAGCATACTGACATTGGACCACAGTATTGCATGAAAACTAGATTTGTCTTTTTCCTTCATACTTACTGCCTTACACTGGAAAAGACTAAAACATCAGTAAGGGCTTGGAAGTCCTATTGTTTGCATTTCTCTTGCTTGGGATAACTGCTATGGCCTCAAAAGGTGAAAGTGGCTGATGTCTCCCTAGATTTCACCTTGGATTTGGCTTTTTACTAAGCTTTCATAGAGAAAAGAAATTCAGAATCACCTTGATAAGACACCTTGAAAGGTTAATACCCTATAAAAGTTATTATAGTTAAGTTCAATGTATTAATAATCCTGAATATCTTCACTGAATTCAAAGCAGAACAACAAAAGCAATTATACTAAGCAGAATTGCTAGTAATTACTGAAAATTTGCTATGTGTGAAGCATTATATGATGTTTTACATTAATTATTTTGCTTAATGCTGACATTTCAACCACATTGTTGGTATAATTATTAGCCCCATGTTAGTGATGAGAAGACTGAGGAAGTGAGGTTAGGCAACCTGAGTAGACCCACAGTCTCACAGCTAGTAAGACATGGCAATTTTAACCCATGGCTCTCACTCTGTGTAAGAAAATTGTAATGTAACGGAAGTAAAGAAAAAATTTGATAACCAGTCATTCAAAAAAAAAAAAAAGAGAGAGAGGACTGCCCCCAAATTCTGCATTAATGGGAACAATAAATAAAAATATTCTGATCTTTAGGTTTATTTAAATCCAAAAGCAGCTAAGCAAATAATATAGTACACGTCAGATAAATGACTAGGAGAAAATAAGAAACAAGGGAGCCTATATAAGCATTATTTGGAGAAAAAGACTGTCTCATATAAACAAAAACATGCATACAATTTGTGTACAATAGAGAGACAATGGGCCAAATCAAGAAAATAGTGAGGTGTGTAGATAGATAATATTAGCACAAACAGATTGCTCAAAACCCATTAAACATAGAAATGGGTAGAAAATGGTAGAAAACATAAGCAAAAGTCTTTACAAAAATAATCCAAATAGGGGCACCTGGGTGGCTCAGTTGGCAAAGTGTCTGCCTTCAGGCCAGGTCATAATCTCTGAGTCCTGGGATTGAACCCTGAGTTGGGCTTTCTGCTCAGCTCCCTGTTTCACCCTCTGCCTCTGCTCCTCCCCCGACTTGTGCGTGCTCTCTCAAATAAATAAAATCTTTAAAAAAAATCTAAATAAAACTTCAGAAACCAAAGAGCATTTTTTCCTAAAATATTATGTAGATTGGCGATTTTTTACATAATTGTTTTAAATGTTTTTGTTACTTAGCTGTATGCTCTCTTTGGGAGAATTTTGGGGGAAAAGCAAAAGCAAAGCAAAATTTTAACCCATGGTAGATTTTACATATGAAATTACAGGATAGCTAATGAAACTATAAGATACACTAATGAAGTTAATTTTTCAAGTCCATGATTTCCTGAAGAGGATACATATATGGTGATGTTAATTATTTTGACCCCAAAGGAAAAGGCTGACTAAAATATATTTAAGCAATCAATAGCTCTTAAAGTTCACAACCGAGAAAATGCTAATGTATTCATTATTTTATGTTGCATTTTAATGTAATTAACATAAAACAGATAATATTTTAATTTTTGTTCATAGTTATCTTAAGTTTTCTGAAATTCTCAAGTCACTTCTCCCTACTAATGACCCACAGTTTTACTATTGATGTTCAATTTAATTATATTTCAATTTGAGTGATTTAAAAAATAAGGAATAGTTTTTAATAAGTTAATAAGGGTTTAATTATATAAATTATTTTATTGCTTAGCAATACATTAAAATATTCTAATGAAAACAAAAGTTTAAGAAAAAAACAGCTTGTTAAGGCAGTGAAACCATTATGTGTCATGGTGGAATATGATATTATATATTTGTCAAAATGCATAACATGTACAACACCAAGAGTAAAACCTAATGTAAACTATAGACTTTAGTTAATAACAATGTGTCAATACTGGCTCATCAGTTGTAATAAATGTCACCTTTACACCTTAAAAAAAATAAATATGTTTCTATTATAATCAGCCCGCATTTTTTGTCTTTTTTATGAATATCGAGAACATAATAAAATCCTCCACTGTCAATGAGTATTAATACAGAATTTTGTAGCAAAGAATAAGAAGCAAGATATTTAAATAAATTACCGTGAACCCAAGAGCCACAGATTTTTATTGGTGGTGGTGGTGGTTGATTTATTCTCTAGTCATTCCTAGATCACTGTGTGAGGACTGCTGACACTTCAGTGTAACAGGAAGCCAATGCTGCTGTAGTTGATGAGGAACCAAACTGAATTGCCAGGAAATTCTTTGGTTGTTGTTTGCCTTCAGCATCTTGGACAATTGGCATCAAATGAAGATGTGGACAGTGAAATAATAAGGAATCTTGGGGCTGAAAAAGTAGGAAAAGTGTGCTGAGAAGAGTCACAAAATTGAAGTGATACACTGTAAGAGTGACTCACTTCACTTAAACTCACCTATTCCAACCATCTTCTGGATTCTGGAAGCGTTTACTGTTATGCAA